ACAGTCCGTGTACATATCACAGTCATCTTCTACTACTTGGCTGGAACAGCCAAAGGCGGCAAACTCCCCAGCCTGAGAGGTTTGGGGGAGCCCCGCGTAAACCGTGCCGAAAACTCTACCTAGGAACCTGAAAGCCCGATCGTAAATCGCAAGACCCCAGGCCGCCCTGTTAAGCTCTGGCACGATACACCTGGTGCAGCTACCGTCCAAGAACAGTTCCCCCCTCACCATGCCGTCCTCCTCCGTGACATCCTCCTCCCATTGCCACACGGTCTTACACTCCTTGTCTGGCCTCGGCCAATAGTCCCCTGGGTGAGGAAAGATACCGCGGGTAAGTAGGAGTAGGTCTTGGGGGTTTTCACTGTCCATGTCGTCCACTAGCTTCTGGCACTCGTCTGAAACAATCTCTGCACGCTCTTCGGCACATGCCTCGCAACGCCACAATCTGTGGAGCAGCGTGTCTGGCCCTTGACCGCACAGAGGACACTCCACCGACTCCAACTGATAACCGAGGCAACGCGCACGAACTCGGGTCCAACTGGCGTCGCATCCTATCAGACGGATCGCCGCCTTGCCAGCAGGTGAGAACTTGCTAGAGTGCAGGGACCTCTTGAGCACATCGAAGCACAGGCGAGGGACCTCCAGGACCGATTTTTGAGCAGCAACTCGCTCCAAACTCCGAAGTACAGCAAGACGCAACAATATCTTCAGAAGCCCAGGACTAACCTCCGTCAAAATTAACTTCTCCCCGAAATCGTTCTCCCAGGAGACCCAGTCAATCATCTTCCACTGGATCCTCTTAAGACACATGTACAACGCGGAGAAAGGCCCCGTGACATCCCTCCACGTCGCTGGCGGGGGCTTGGCGAAGAAAATACTCCACGCCTCGCGCAGCTCCGTGAAACTGAAACACCAGCGGTATGCACCTGAGTGGGCACACCACAGCTCCTTCGAGTACCTGACAAGGGGCGCCACCGCCGCGAGCCACGTAGGCTCATCTTCTAAGATAAGCAGGCTTGTGAGCGATCTACCTTTACAGCTAGGCCCCATCACGGAGCCGGCCTGCTGCCGAATACGGTGGAGCTCCCCATCCGAAATCCCGTGGACTTCCGACCCATACAGCACCCCAGGGAGCGGACCAGAGACCCAGATTCTCTTGGCGTGGGAGGTGATCTGTTTTTTCATCATCCTCACCTTCCGTGACTTGGCCTTCAAGTTGGCCATGCGGATCTTGAACTTGGACTCGCGGAGGGCCCGACGGATGTAGGCCTTCCTTCGAGACCTGCCAGCCGTGAAATCTATGCCTAAGTCCACAATGCTGTCGGCCAGTGGGCCCGTGCGGTCGCCTAGGAAAATCTGCAGCTCCCTGGCGACGGCCCCGTCCGAGCAAACGAGGTTGCCTTGGCCCGCCTTGGACAAAGAAATGGAGCAGCCGCACTCGTGGACCAGAGCCTGCTCCAACTGCCGAGAACCTTCTTTTATACCCCAAGAAACATCCAGGGCCGAACCCGTGGAGTCCAGACCCGAGTCGTCGATAAACTGAGCCAGGAAAACTCCCCGAGGAAGGTTCAGATTGCTCAAAGGACCCAGGAGATAAACCCGAACCAGGGAAGTGGCCATAGAGCAACCAGCCACCACTCCACGACGCGCGAAAAAAGGCCCAGCGACCGCCGAGGCCATGCTCACAAACCTCCCGTACCTGTAGGCAGAGACGCACAACTGGGTGATGGCCGTGGGGAAACCGAACTTACGAGCCTCAGCCACAAGTCTTTCGTGAGAAAAGTTTTCATAAAACTTAGTCATATCCCACAAAAGCATAGCCGAGACTTCCCCTTTCCTGGTGCTGAGCTCGGCTCGGGCCGCTTGCCGCCACACCGTGTCGGCCGCGCAAGCGAAAGAACTGCCAGCAAAGAATATCCTAGCATTCCTCGCTTCCCACTCCGCCGCCAGCTCCCTTCTGCATTTCCCCCAAAGTCTGTAAAGGGAAACAAACAACCCAATGGGCCGATATCCCCCCGACGCTTTAGAGAGAAGCACCACCTGAATAATCTGGAGCTGGCGCGGCAGGCTGGAGAGCGATTCGAAGATCGCAAACAGGAGGCTCACCACCGCTAGCGCCGAGTCCGACAGCCACGAGTAGTGCCTCATGTGAAACCCATCCACCGCCTGTGCCGTGGTGGCCTTGAAAGCGGCAGATGTCGACCTAATCTGGTCGATCGAAACCATGGGGAGGGGCTGACATACCCCTTCAAACAGACAGTCGGGCGCCTCAGAGCCCGCGTGCCACAGCTCGGCCCAGCCAGAGGCCTCGCTCTTGAGCAAACTTAAAGGGTCCGAAAGCACCAAACCCCCGGCCGATAAGGTCGTGGTAGCTTTCCAACCATGGGCCTCCTTGGAGGCCAGGTGGGCATTCTTTCCCCCCTCTTTGATTTTTGTGAGCAGCCAGTTTTTCCACCCCATCTCGCCGTCAAGACGAGCTTCTCCTTGAAGCTTGGTCACATACTGCTGCACTAAAACCAAAGCATCTTGAGCAGCCTCCAGCCACTCGGACTTGCCCAACTGCTGGCGCTCCCCGCTGGTGATCTTGCCGACGGGGACGGCTCGAGCTAAGGACTGAATCGTGCTGAGATACTGGTCCCACTCAACGCAGCCGACGATAAGCACGAAGGACGGGGGCTTCAACAGGGACTCCCTGGTCTTCGAGGCCTCCAGAGCTCCTTCCCTAAACTCGATGATCAGGTCCTGGAACCTGTGATACACCCACTTTCCCGCGAACAACTTGGGGTGCCTGAACGGGGGGGCCTTGTCCTTGATGATGGGAACCCAATGCAGTTGCGGTGACTTACTACGGGCACCATAGTAGGGCAGCGTGATCTGGGCCAAGTCGCAAAGCTCCCTCTCGGCCAAATCCGCCCAACGCCCATAGACCCAATCAAGCCTCTCCTGAGCCTCCGAGATCTGGCCCGAGAGCGCCGTACCTAAACACCCCTCAGCAGCGTCCTGCACCTCACCCCAGTCTGGCGGTGAGCGGCCGACCCCAATCGGCCTCTCTCTGGGAATGGGCGGTGGCTTACGGAACGTGAGCGCGCACAGCTGAGCAAGCCGAGGAAAAAGTTGCAGATGGACGGGCTTGTGCGGTGTCAGCTGCGCCACCTGCACTATGCTCGTCGACTGAATGCCCTTCGCAATGCCCCCAGTGCACACAAAATAATCCAGGAAGTTCAGACCTCCCAACGATCTGCAGGTCCCAGAGCCAGCAGGTTTGATCAGAGACCCCTCCAACTTCTCAGGGAAACCCGACTCAAGAAGGGCTTCAGGAGACATGTTCCAGTCGCCTCCAAGAATGGCCTGGTGCCCCGACATCTTCACAGTAGCCCCCGCGGTACTGAGTAGGTCGAGGTTCCTGCTTGACAAACCTTCACTATCGTGTAAGTACGCCGACAGGACCAAAAACGGCACATCCCCAGGAAGATGAACCAAGGCGTTGATGAGACGGCCAGCCGAAAGCGAGGAGCCCCAC